TCTTTTGGTACTTGTTTCTCATCCCAAATCTTATTGGAGAGAATGTGGAGTATCCTTGCAGTTGCCGCTACGTCTGCTTTTAGTGCCTCTGCTGGAATGTTGTCTGGTCCCGCTGCTTTGCCACTCTTGATTTGTCTGATGGCCATACTGATTTCTTCAATTGTTGGTGGGCCAACATTGATTGGGAGGTCCGTGGGTGTACTTGAACGTTGGGTGGGTTCAGTAGAGCTGGCCGATTCAAGAGTTCTTTGAAGTGTTCTTACCACCTGTTTTGTTGCTCTTCAATGTTGGTGATTACCCTGCCTTCTTTGCTTTTCACTGGTCGTTCTGGTTTGCGGCGATTTCCAGTGAGTTTCTTTGTCGTGTCATACAATTGTCTCATGTTTCCTTCTCTTGCAGCCTTTTCCGCCGTCGTTGCTAAATCTTCCACATATTTACGTTTGTCAGTTCTGATGCTCCTCTTCACTTGTTTGTTTACTACTGTTTATTCAGCTTGTGCCTTGGCTTTTCTGCTCTTGACCGCTGTTTTCCTCTAAACAATGTTGATCACATTTTTGAATCGTTCGATATATCACACCATATTTCGAAGTCACTAGTGCTAGAAATCGATAATTTTTCGCATTATTTAGGCTCAAACACGGTTCAATAAAGATGGGATATCGGCTGACGAGATTACCATTACTCACAGAAAAATGTCTGTGGAATTGATCACATACTTGCTAAGTAATTCCTTAATTGCGCAATTTTCTTCCCAGTTTTCATGGAAACTGAACGTGATTGAAGACAACTACAACTTCAATGAAATTTATCTCCAGTGAATCTAAATATGTCTGAACGCAACGACAATGTGCTGTGCAATAGTTGGACCTGACTCTGGTTGAGCTTGCTTTTGGTGATGACCCAACCGTGTTATACTGGCTGGAACATATGTTCCTGTAGGTTCTACCATGCCAGACAGGTTGGTTAAAGAGCGGTAAGACTAAAAACAACAAACCTAAGGTCCTAAGGCGAAGTCGTACTGCTGACTGTACAGAGGTGTGACAGCAGTAAGGTGTTTCCTTCAGACAACCAGCATGACAGCGATGCTGCCTTCCTACAAGGAGGGATGGGGTTAGAAAAGGTCGACCCTAAAAATGCACACCTCGCCTTATCCCACGGATATCTGTCTCTGGCGGTAAGGTCTCAACAAGTACGGAGCTAACACATAAATTACTCATAAAAAGGTCGTGTGTGACCGACTTCGAGCAGTTATCCCTTGGTCAATGCGGTCACACTCTCAAATCAATATGACCTCCTCTAATCCAATTTCCTTTTCAGGTACCTCCAGAAGGACCGTTCTACGGTGTGGGCAACTGGGAAGTGATAACTACCCTGATACCACTAACAGCACTCAAGACCACTGTATTCATAATCAACCTCCCTCTTCAATTCTATCATTCCTCCTACATCGACTTTCACCTCTAAACTTCCTTTTTCGGCTTCCCCCTCAAGTGTCACCACAGCCAACGATTCTAGTGCTCAAAACACTGTTCCAGGTCTACTGAAACCTCGCTCCAAACTACACATTGGAGCCTTCAACGTACGCACCCTATGTCAAATCGGTCAGCAGGCTTCCTTGGTTAAAACCCTAGAATCTCGTACCATTGATGTATGCTGTGTCTCCGAAACACGCATACAGGATCCCAGTGTGGTCATTCACTTGACCTCACCTCTGCAAAACGAAGAGCCGACGAGATACACCCTCTGTGTATCTGGTGACCTGATGGCAAGTTCTCGTGGACTGGCAGGTGTAGGCATAGCACTAAGCATGAGGGCCGAACAAGCACTGTTAGAGTGGATCCCCGTCAACAGTCGTCTATGTGCTGTTCGGCTGAACGGCTACGTAAGAACTCGGAAGGATAGGGACACACGTCGTTGCCTTTTTGTCGTTTCTGCCTACGCTCCCACCGACTGCAGCTCAGATGAAGTGAGAGATGAATTTTACAGAAAGCTGTTCGAACTTCTTCAGAAAGCTAAACGTTCAGACATAGTACTCGTAGCAGGTGACTTTAATGCCCAGATAGGTAGTTTAAACCAAACAGAAAGACATTTAGGTGGATATTCTAGTATTCCGGCACAGCGAACAGATAATGGTGATCGTCTGCTGTAACTGTGCTCAGACAATCGTTTATTTTTAGCAAACACAAATTTTAAGCATAAGGAGAGACATTGTTTAACATGGCGATCCCCTACACCAAACCAACGATGGACTCAAATAGACCATATTGCCATCAGTCATCGTTGGAGAGGGTGGGTAGAAGATTGTCGCTCATTCCGGAGTACCTGCCTAGACTCCGACCATGCCCTAATACGATCACGCATCTGCTTGCGCCTCACTGGACGCAAAAAAGCCACATTAAAAAGACCCATTAGAACTGAGTTGAGTAACGAGAAAACCAAAAGTAGGTTCCAGGGACAACTGAGGTCACACTTAGGTAGTTCTGAAAACAAGGCTAACCCAGATGTTGCTTGGAAGGATATGCAAGCAGCTGTGGAAACAGAAGTGACGTCTATTAGTGATATAAACCACAGGGTCACGAAGAGCCAATGGATTTCTTCAAGGTCTAATACACTAATGGATTCTCGTGAACCCATCCCATCAGGCTCTGAACACGATGAAGATCGAAAACAAATCAGATCTAGGTTAACCAAAAGTCTGAGGAACGACCGAGAGCAGTGGTGGGCAACGAAAGCAAAAGAGATGGAAAAGGCGGCGGCTATAGGGAACACAAGACAGCTCTACAGACTAATAGAAGAAACTGGAACTAGTAAGTCAAGTGTAAGTGAGATTATATCGGAAAAAGACGATACTCTCATCTGCTCCCAGTCCAGACGTTTAGAACGGTGGACAGAACATTTTAGAGAACAGTTCAGCTGGCCTTCAGCTACTCTACAACTACCCTTTGTTCCCAGACAGTGTGAATGGAACATTGAAGTAGGTCCCCCAACTGTTGCTGAAGTTCAAAAGGCTATAGTTAATCTGAAACAAGGAACAGCAGCTGGTCCAGATGGATTGGCTGCAGAGGTCTTTAAGGATGGTGGTCCGATTTTAGCTATTAGGTTGACTAATATTTTAGCTAAAATCTGGGAGTTAGACGTTATCCCATATGACTAGTCACAATCACTTATCGTCACAATATATAAGAAAGGGTCAAAATCATCCTCTGATAACAATAGAGGGATTGGTTTAACTAATATAGCATCTCAAATACTAGCCTCAATAATTATCGGACGCCTAACTAAGACTCGTGAACTGCAAACATGAGAAAATCAGCCTGACTTCAGACCTGGTCGTGGCTGCATCGACCACAGATTCACCATTCGTCAGGTTCTAGAACACAGACATGCTTATCGGCGTCCGACAATGGTGGTCTTTCTTGACCTAAAAGCATCATCTGACTCCGTAGACCGCGAGATTCTGTGGCAGTGTCTGTCATTGAAAGGCGTGCCCCAGAAGTACATAAACCTTGTGAAGGCTCTTTACTCGAACACTACTAATCGAGTGAGAGCTTATGGCGAACTGTCATCTACTTTTGCAACCTCAAGTGGTGTCCTTCAAGGCTGTCCACTATTTCCATTTTTGTTCAACTTCATCATAAACATACTGATGGAAATAACTTTCTCGTCGACTGGATTTTCGGGCACTGATCTCCTACCAGGAGGTCCACTTATCGACTTAGAATACGCAAATGATATAGTTCTGTTTGGTGACGATGCTGATAAAATGCAGAGTCTTTTGGTAGCACTGAGCAACAATGCCAGAATGTTTGGGTTGCGTTCATGTATGTAGTTTGGCGAAGGTGAGATATCCGTCTATCAATTAGGGGACGATTATACTGCGCGTCAGTTCGTTCTGTTCTATTTTACGGCTGCGAAACGTGGCCATTAAGAGTAGAAGATACTCGTAAGCTACTAGTATTTGACCACAGATGCCTTATAAATATTTCTCACATCTTTACGGTTATGGGATCATCGGGTAAGTAACAGTGAGGTTAGACTCAGGGTATTAGGGAATGATGGTAAATCTTCACCAACTGCGATGGTTGGGTCACCGATAATCACGGCGCGCAATACTGACTAGTGTTGAGGATGGTTGGAAGAAAATTAGGGGCGGTCAAACCAAAACGTGGCATCAGTACTTTAAGTTACTAGCTTCTAGTCTTAGCCATAGTGGTAGATGCAGACTACTTGGTTGAAGTTCGTGTGACTATCGTAACGAATGATTGGAGACTCTGGGTGACATGACTCAGGATCGATCACAGTGACGTAGAAGTGTACACTCTCTGTCTTCCCTTAAACTATGAGATTACGATCGCTTTATATCTTCCTTTATACTACCTAATTCTTTCTTTATGTATTATATCCTTATATGCAATCTTTATTTTATATATCACCACCATTGAATTAGCTGCTTCTATGTATTCGGTGTTCATCAACAAGTACACGAAAGCAAGGAAAATCACAATCAGTACTGAATCATTGCCCTTTTTGAAACGAAAGTCATTGATATAGACGAGTAGTGATGGACGTCTACCTCCTAGCACTCATCTGTTTTGAATACAAGTCAAACCCTTTGGAGTCTTCATCCTGCCTTAAGTCTAGTACATGGTAGCTTATTAGGAATAAAAGTGCATCTTGAAAAAATCACATCTTTCATGACGGCGAACCATTGAAAAAGATGCAAAGGACGTCAGCTAAGCTGATTCCGATAATAGAAAATCTAACTCAGGTCTCCTAGCTACGTGAATTTTTCAAAAAGAAACCGACACTGAAACTTGAGGAAATTCTGGAGTCTGGATATTTGGCTGGCAACGTTTGAAGTGATTTTTATGAAAATGGAGAGAAACGAAACTGTAAACGATTTCACACTGTAGCACGAGCTTTAGTTATTCATAATCTAGGTCTGAAACATTGGACAGTTTCTTTTGAAACTGTTTTAGCTTTATTCGCAACAATTCAAGAAAAATGTAAGAGCCAAGTTTGAAGTTTAACCTTGTTTATTGTTAGACTCTGTGTTTAAGTGGTAATACTTGTGGTTAATATAACTAGCCATTCTCACTCGCTCTGTATTCTACCTCTATTTCTACAGGGTCGCATAGCTCAAAAAATCGCTTTCAGCTGCTGCTGAGATTTTTAACCTTAGTAACCGATGTTTTGACAGGTTAGTGAATGTCTTAGAAATACATAGTAGTGGTGTTGGCTTTTGAAACGTGTTGTGATGTCTGGTACTGATTAATTTCGAACAAGCCTCGTAGTTAGGTCAATTGTAGTTATTTGTTACTTCGGGAACATCGGTTCGCCGAATCTTATTTGCAGCGTCATATATTAGTTTCCTGATACAGGAACCCCATTCACTTTAATTGAAGAATGAATTGTTTAGAATTTAAGGGGATAATGGTAAATTCTCATTCGTATTCCGTGCTCAGTGTTCTTAAGGAATCTGTTTGAATTTCCTTTTTCATATAGTGTTCATTGCTGGCATGATTTGGGCACATGGCCTCGGCTTTTTGTTTTCCAGAAAGCTGATTCTCCCTTATTTAAACTTTTCATATTGCTCTCGCAATTTTTCTTACATGAGTTCATTACTTGGAATTTGAACATTCGACTAAACAGGAATCATATGATGGTCGGTTGTACGTGTATTTTATAGTTTAGTCATCCTCAACGTAAAGTCTGGCGCAAATGTTCTTTATCGTGTGTTACCATGTCACAATACCACGATTAAACATCTTTTATCAATAAATGAGTTGAAAATATGGTAGCGAGTATAATAAGAACTACAATGTCGAGAATGTTACTCATAATTTATTTCACATATCCATATTTTCTCTTCCAGGTTTTTAATAAGCGAAATAATCTTAAACGTAAACATTCCTGGGTAGTTGTAGCATACTCTAAAAGCCAGACGGTGACGTAACATTACCATATTGTTTCTTGGAGTACTGAAGTTATTCTTTGTTATTTCATTGTGTTATGGGTTGCCACGTTTCAGCTGATAGTTCTAATAGTTTTACGTGGGACGACTATCTTAAGAAAACAAACGGTCGCCCGGCGAAGTTGGAGTGCTTTAAACAGGTTAGTAGTGCATTATTTTGTAGGATACAAATTTGACTTAAAATGAATAGTTTATTTTACTCTCCACAGTAGAAATTAGTGTAGCTCCCTTCAAGACATGGCACCAGTACAATATTCCATTGGTGGTCGTAGATTTATGAGAAGTGGGGTCTTGCCGATCAAGAATAAGTTATTCTTAACTTGTGACTAGAGAATTTAGGTAATATCTCTCCAGTCGCAGTTGCTCCTATGTCCCGATTTTCGTATAACCCTATATTTCTCGTTCTGTGGTTTTACCAGTATCCTTGATACAATGTTATCTGGTGCTCTCGGCGGTAGTTTCACTCACTACCTTATAAATCTCTGATGATATGAAGTATGCCATGTTGGACCGATATATTTTTGTGCCAGATTTCAAGTTATCAGTAACTAATTGCTGCAACCTACCAAAGTCAAACACTTTCAAGTCTAGCAAAGTGAGAGAAAGTTGGCACATGGGTCTGAAGCCTATTAATATTACGAGGTAAAGGAACAGTAAGGAAATAATCCGTACATGGCCTTAAGGTATAATTCAAAAGGGTTCCTTAACAACACTCACGGTAAAATAACTGGATATTCACGCATATGAGTTTGTACTGCTTAAATTCGATTAACTATATAAGGGCTCAGAATTTTCCTTTTTGGAAAACTTTGTGAGAATAATTGTTCTTGAGTATCTAATATCATCGAATATTGTACCTATTTTTGACTGCCTATTCTGGTTCCAGTATCAACAATTCCATCGAAATAAAGACTTGTGGTCGTACCCTAGTGGTTCATTCATTACGTAGGCAGTAGTACAAAGGCATTGTAGGTATCCCAACATCATCGTAATTTTGTAGATATCTAAGAAATATCTCGTTCATATCCATATTTCATTCAGAGGCTACCAGTCAGTGTTGATACACTTGAATTAGGCACGAAATCCTGCATCTTATTAGTTACCATGTTACTTGCTATCAGGGGCACAGGATATTACAACCCTGCTGGTTGAAAATCAAGACACTTAGATGCCATTATTTGAGACGGCACATTTGAGTTTTGAAATGTTTATCAACGAGACTAATTGCTTGATTTACTAAAGTATTTGTAAGTTTGTTGACAAAATATTCTTACAGCTGTTCATAGTTCCTAACAAGCTTTATTGAATACCACATAAACTACTGGAGAAAGCATTAAATCTAAGGTTCTTCAGACGAAATATTTCCTGTTGATCTAATTGTTGTGGGACACAGGCTGTCGTAAATCAGTAAATTCAGTGTTTACACATATAACACGTAAGTCGACGAAAAAGACATCTGATGCTAAGAAGCAAATGTAAGTTATTGGGTTTAATTTATGTAGTGCTGACAACTTCAAAATATGTCCTTGATCTGCAAGGCCCGTTATGAAGCTATCTGAAGCAGATCCGAGTTGTTCAGAAGTGGAATTCATGTTTTATTTTCGCCTATAAATGTTAAGTGTTCCACATTAGACTATATATGATGGTAGGCGAACTAGTTGGGCACCAAACTTATTTGATTTTTGATCCATTCTCTTGTCCAAATATGTCATTAACTCGCTTGACGTATGGCACTATCATCTGTAATAGAATATCTAACAGCCTCATGAAGGTCTAGTAGATTTATTTATTTATTATTATTTTATTTGAACACAAACATTGGCACGAGAGGGCACCAAATACGTATCCGCCACAATAACAAAAAGGTCAGTAGGAGTTGCGATTGATTTGTGTGAGGTCTGTGATACTACCCGGGCGCCCAAACCGAAGCAGGTGATTTCTTAGGGCGCCACACCCTGAGCTTTAGACTTAAAGGTCCAAAACATATGGCAATGAAGCAACGTCAGGAGATGCAGTCTCGTGGTAGCCGGGGTCCAACAATAGGTTCATACGCCATTTATTCCCTCAGGATTTTGGAGCCCATGTGCGCCATTGGTTTGGAATTAGGGTTTTCCAACTCACCTAGGTAAACCCTCTGTTTCTACCAGCCCAGTTAAAGCACCGGACATTTGCTTTTCACCCCCTCAATTTCGTAAACAACACTTCTGTCGTGAGAAGGCAATGAGTAGGTCTTCATTGTCAGTGGTTGTATACGCGTGGACATATGGTAACATTTTGAGAGTGAAAGCTGACACGCCCCACCCCCGACCATACCTGGGCATTTTGGGGCAAATGACAGGATGGCGAAGGAGGTTCCGCCCAATAATAATAATTTTTCTTAACTCATTTTGTTTCTTTCGTCCGCACAACGTACTCTCGTTATTTTTATTATATATATCTCTCTCAGGTACATTGTTTCGAACTGTGGGATTGAGAGCCTATCAAGTTAAGTGACAAGTTCTATGTTGCTGGTTCGGTTTTTCATATTTCCAGTATTTTTATTTTCCACGCGTTTAGAAGTACTAGGTTTAGCTGAAGTGAAATATTTTGTATTGGGATAGTAACTAGTATATCATCAAGTGTAGCTGAGTCTTATGCAATATAGATTATAGCTATTTTGAGTTTTTAGTATATTTTAACAGTTTTTTTAGCGAAACCAATCGCATCCACTTATTCCATATTGATGTCGATTTTAACATCATTCAACTATATAATCGATTATTTCATCTTAATTCCACTTCTAACTGCTCATTTATATATTTCTTACTGTATCAAAACATCAATTTCTTGTTTTTGTTTCAGTCTCTTGTTCCTCCGCCAAACTATTTCGAGGTGAATACCATTCTAGAAGCGGAGGATCAACGTAGCGCAGCTCTTGTTCTCAATCCATATTCAAACGACCTAATAAAAGCACGTTATGCTAATAATTCTACTATTAGTAATCAACAGCTGTTGGAGACCCCATGTAGAAGGTCCAGTCTGAATCCTCACTCCAGTGGAACTGTCCGACGCTTCAGAGCAGCTTCATTCAGTTTAGCTCGAGTGATAGAAACGTGTGGTCCACGTTTGAGAATACGTCTGGTTGGAACTGATGATCGTAATGATTATTGGTTCTTAGTTGATTCTGATCAAATCAGACCTTATCCTTCTGGAAGTCCACTACAACCACCCTTTGGCTATATGCATAATCATCTTGTGTGGAATCGTACTCTTAAGAAAGCAACTGAAGGAACGCGTTTTGCAGATCCTTCGTGGTTCATTTCAGTAAGTCGTAATCTGTCTTATAGTTCGTATTCTGTTTTCACGTTGTTTCCAATTAGTAATACCGTATTTTTTATATTACAGCAACCACCAGATCCAGAGGATAACTACTTCCAAGTGAATGACAAGTTAGAGGCAGTAGATCGTAGAAATACTCAGCTGATATGTCCTGCATCTGTAGGCGCAGTGAATGGCCACCATATTTTGATAAATTTTGATGGTTGGTCAGGAGCTTTTGACTATTGGGCTCGTTTCGATAGTCGTGAACTATTTCCTGTCGGTTGGTGTAAGTCAGCCAACTACCCTCTTCAGCCACCTGGACCAAACGTTATACGCTCTCCAATTATTCATTCAACCCCTAGTTTCTTGTATGCTCATAATTCTGTTTCCCAAGCTCCCAGCATCTCACCAAAATATCTATCTAAAGTACTTACTAACAGTTGCAGTCGTATCACAAAGACAGATAAAACGTCCTCATGTCCTCGTAAAAAGTTGGGACTTTCAAGAAGAATTAAATCGCATACAAATTCAGTTAGGAGTAATTTGCATGACGAATCAGAAAGCTCAACACCTTTCAGGAATCCTTGTGAGCTGTCAGCAAAACAACCTCTAAGTATAAGGAGTTCATTTTCTCCTGTTTTATCAATGCCAAATCATAATAGCGTTGCTTCCGACCATATGGACGTCAATAAAAATGAACGTGTTGATTTGTTTGTGGAACCTAATTCCCTAAATACTTCACAAGTTGATTCTTCCATTCGGTCCTTGACATCACCACCCATTGTCCCTCCTGTCCTAGAAGATGCAAATGATTCTTTAAACACGTTTTACTCTTCGTCTCCCCCTGAACATCCTCCACGAATCGAAGCTTCTGAATTTGTGAGTGATTCTGCGAACGTACGTCATCGACGTTTCAGTGGCCCTTCCGATTGCGTTGTGCGTCTCCAAGCGAAATCGTCATTAATGCCAATGTCCAACGTGTCACATCCTTATGAACCAGAACTAAAATCATGGAAAGTAGTAACAAAAACTAAGCAAAAAAGCAAACAACACAAACTGAAGCGACGCAGTGGGAATTCAAAGAAAAAATATCCCAAAATAAAACAGAAATTCAAAATAGCCAAGTAAGCTTCAAACATGTTCAGTTACACAGAATTTATGAGTAGATACTCAACAACATCTAACGTACGTAACTAAGTAAAACCTCATAGCTCTGTACGTAATATGTTCTTCTAAGCGGTGAATAGCTATAAATCTGTGACCGACTCTTTTTTTTGTAATGAGGTATTAACTCACCTTTTATTTCAACTCTGAAGGTCTATTGTTGTTGGTTTCCAGTATGATCTTAGTATCTTCACTAGCTATTTTCATACTATAAGTTAGCTGTATTTTAAATAAACTAGTGAAAAATGATATATTAATATTGGAGTCTCTGGTTGGTCCGAATTGATGACCGCTTCTAGTACTTTATTTGATCTAATTTCAGTAGTTGTAATACCAGTCATTCAGTTATACGCAAGGTAGAACCTGACATACGAGTATATCGGTTTGAGTTGCCATACCACATTACATTATGATGCACGTAGAACTTGCTACCGTATGTCGATTTATAGGTAGTAAGCATTAGTATATATATTGTGAGCATTAACGGCACTATTCGCCTTTCTAAATAAAATTAGCTAAAGTCGGTCAGAACCCTCAGACTTTACTTGTCTAGTAAAGGCACATCATTAGCTCTTGAGTCGCTAAACGAACACTTATGATGGTTTTCTATAGTTATACATTAAGTATTCGTACCTTTTTTTCATTGTAAAGTTTGTATCTTTCTGCAAATATACTGTGTGATTAATGCATCGATAAATTTGATATTGTATTATGTGTACGAAGATTTAAAAAATAGTAAGTGGATGTATTATAACTCTTTTGTTACCGGAAAAGGATGGCCATGCATTATTTATTGTGGGTGATCGCAACACATTTGTACAAGTGGGTTGAATTCCTCTCTTTTATTGAATAACATTGAAATACCTTATTACATGTTCAGACTGATTGTCCCCTTCCTATTTGTAGACAAGTTTTCCGTGATCTTCCTTTCTTTGTTAAGTTTTTCGTCCGATGTTTTCGCTAAGTGTATTAATTTGAATTAGCGAATTTACTTTTTGTTCAAAGGAAGTGTAACTGTATGTTAATGGCACCCAATCATTGGAACTAGAATTCACACCCTATTCTTTATTTTCTTACTTTATAGTAACAGTTTAACTAGTTCGGTGCTGTGCGACTATGAGTATGTTGATTCAGTTTCTCCTCAGCTGAAAGCCTTCTCTGATGTGAGTCAAAACTATGAAAAGTCAATCGCTTATTCAGAAGACAATCCCAATTTGTACAAAAACGAAGCTGCCGATTCTACTGCTTTCTGCAAAAACGATTCTGCATTAACATGTACTCCTGTCTTCATGGCAGATAGAAAGAGTTTATTTAAATCGGAGAACGATCGAAGTAATAGTGCAACCATGGGGTCAAGTTTAGTCTTTCAATCACATATCTCCCATGATATCATGCATACGAATGGCTGTTACTTTGACGAAATGAATTCCCCTACTCATGATAATTTGTCTGTTGAAACGTCCGATTCACATTTGTGGTTTTCTGGAAAGTTAGAGTCTAATTCTAATAAATCTTCTTATCCTGTGTACGCTCATCAAAATGTTGATAGTTTAGATAGTCAAAGTCTAACTACACATCTCCCTTCGTCAACAGTATCTCCTTCATCATTGGGTAAGTTTGTGCCCATATATAGTAATGCTATGAAACCTACAAATATGGTTTCAACTTATTTAGACTATATCTAGCATAAGGTCTGAAGTTTTCATGTCTATCTTTCTCAATGGGAGAATATGAGCGATTCAGAGTTTTATTGTTGTACTATTATAATAACTTCTTATTTGTCTCTGTTCAACGTAACTTTCATTGCCCATCGATGTTCATGAAGCATCCAATATAATTTTATTTTCAACATGACTGGAAAATACTTCCACTTTTGAACATCTATGAATAGAAATGTTCATTTTCAGGTGAACTCTAAGTTCATCTAATCGCTTTTAATACAAAAAAAAATCAAAAGGTCACTCCTGTTCCCTGTGCTACTATAAACGTATTTTTAAGTCAAATACCATATCAAAGCGTCTCATCTATATATGACGAAGTCCATTACGTTAGTCTGTTTGAGCATTTAGTGTGAGAATTAATTTCTAAATCTGCTCCTTAATTTTGGTTTTCGAATAGCTATCCGTATTTCCAACTGACGCTTCAACGAGGCTTCAGGCATCACGTTTGGGAACTCATTTACTTTCCGAGTAAATTCAGTAAAATGTTTGATTGTCAATCCTAGCATCATATTGTTAAGGCTTAGAAATAATAGAACTCTAGTTTTGCGTTGCATCCTCAGTAAAATTCATGCTGTGTATTGGTCAAGCAGTCAGTTAGTCTCCCCAGATAGTTGATTGTTCCGTTTAGATCACACTTTTTTTCTGATATCACAACATGATAATGTCCCAGTTGATGAATTAATTAAGTTGTTTGGCAACGCTACTATTTTTTTTCTCGAGCTAATTTCCTATTAGTTTGTTTTTGATCAGTTTCGCTTATATCCCTGTTAGTAGCTTCTGTAAAATGATCCCCACAGTGTTCTGTCAAGATAAACCGTCCTATTTATTAAAGTTGTTCAGCTATAAAAAATTCCAGGAAATAATTTCATTCATATCCAGTAATTTATCCGTTTTTGTAAACCTCTAAGATTGAGATGTTCAAATAGTCATAGTTTTTTTTTAATAGTTGTATGTGGTAACTAAACATACCTTTACTCATTCTTTGTTGTAAAAGAAACCCAAGTGGCCGGATATATTTTACCCATATATGTATATATATGAATTATAACCGTTTTTAAGTTAAAAATCAAGAGTAAGACATCAATTTTTTGTTATTAGCCAATTTATTCTATAAGGGAAATGATGCTATTAAAATTGTGAATTCTCTTTATCGTACATTTTACGATCTCCAGTACGTGTACTAGATAATAATCTTATCTTATGCGTTTGATAATTCTGATAATCTTAACACTTCCACTGACTGAGTTAGACCAATAGTATGAGGCTCAGTTGTGCTAAAAGTAACTTATCTCCGTGTAGACTTCCTTGGGTTGTGGTAGCCTTTATTGGACACGATTTATATGACATCTGGCACTGACTAAATGAAGAGATAAGGTTGGGAACTTCTAGAAGTTGGCATTGTTTAAATGCACACAGTGGTGACTGCTACCTCTACGCGGTGGTCGGGCTTGCCTATCGTGATGACCCAACCGAGCTATATTGGCTGGAACATATGTTCCTGTAGGTTCTACCATGCCAGGCAGGTCGATTGGAGGACGGTAAGACTAAAAGCAGCAACTCATAGTCTGAGGGCGAAGTTGTACTGCCGACTGTAGAGGGGTGTAACAGCGGTAAGGTGTTTCCCTCGAACAACCGGCATCTGCAGCGATGCTGCCTTCTCACAAGAATGGAGGGGGTTAGAAATGGTTGACCCTTACCTCACGGATATCCCTCTCCGGTGGTAAGGCCATTTGAAAAACGGAGCTAACACATCAAATACCTCCCACAAAAAGGCCGTGCGCGACCGGCCTCAAGCAGTTGTCCCTTGGACTCTGCGGTCACGCTCCCAGGTCGTTAAGGCCGACATTAATCCGACTTCCTTTTCAGGTTCCTCTAGAGATACCCTTCTACGGTGTGGGCAACCGGGAAGTGACATCAGCCCTCATACCCGTAACAACACACGAGATCAAGTTGGTCACATTCAAATCCTTCCTACACCTCTTAATACCTCTCTTATCTCCCCGCCTAACCCCTCTCGCGTCCTTTTTCCACCTCGCACCGCTGGGCCAACGATTTGAGTACATGGAACGTTATTCCTGGTCTCCTGAAACCACGCTCTAAACTACATGTAGGAGCTTTTAACGTACGAACACTATGCCAAATAGGACAACAGGCTTCCTTAGCTAGGACTTGAGAATCCCGCGCCGTCGATGCGTGCTGCGTCTCCGAAACACGCATACAGGACCCGAGTTGCGTCATTCACTTGACTTCACCATGCCAAAATAAATAACCGACTCGATTCACACTTGGTGTATCTGGAAGCCCTGATTCTGCTTCTCGTGGACTCGCCGGTGTAGGTATAGTATTGAGTCCTGGGCAGAACTAGCTCTCTTAGAGTGGATCCCAGTAGACAGTCGTTTGTGCGCTGTCCGACTAAACGGAACAGTAAGGATCCGAAAAGATAGGGACACTCGTCGTTGCCTCTTCGTCGTCTCTGCTTATTCCCCCACTGACTGCAGCTCAGATGATGTAAAAGATGAGTTTTACATAAAGCTCTCCGACCTTCTCCGAAAAGTTAGGCTCTCGGATGTAGTAATAGTGGCTGGTGACTTTAATGATCAAGTAGGTAAACTAAGCGGAAGGGAAAGACACCTAGGTGGATCTTATAGCATCGTGGCTCAAAGAACAGATGATGGCGACGGTCTGTTGCAGCTATGCTCAGATAACCGCCTGTTCCTTGCAAATACTAACTTTAAGCATAAGGAGAAACGTCTTTTAACATGGCGACCCCCTAATTCGTCCCAACGTTGGCCCCAAATAGATCACATAGCTGTCAGCCACCGATGGAGGGGCTCGATAGAAGACTCGCTTATTCTGGAGCACATGCTTAGATTCAGATCATGCTCTAGTACGAGCACGTATTTGCCTGCGTCTTACTGAACGTAAGAAAGACGCTGCAAGGAAACCTCTTAGGGTCCTATTTAATGATAGTCAAACTAAGAGTATATTTCAGGAACAACTAGGAAAACAGTTAGGCAGCTATGTAGGTGATGCCCACCCCGAGGCAGTATGGAATGATACCCGAAAAGCTGTGGAAACAGCAGTGATATCTGCTAGTACGGTTAACCGTAAGGTTGGGAAGCAACACCGGATCTCAGCAGCATCTACCGCACTGATAGATGCTCGGAAACTCATTCCACCTGGCTCTCAACATGATGAAGAGCAGAGTCAGCTTAAGCGCACGCTGACAAGAAGCCTGCGCAATGATCACGAACACTGGTGGGTAGCGAAAGCAAGAGAGATAGAAAAGACGCCGGCAATAAGTAGCAGCAGACGACTGTTCAAACTTGTTGAGCAAACCGGTATTAGGAATCCAACTGTTAACGAAACTATCTCGGAAAAAATGGACGTATTATTCACTCTCAATCCAGGAAATTGGGTCGATGGGCAGAACACTTTAGGGATCATTTCAGCCACACTTCGGTTTCCCACGATCTCCAGTCAACCTGAATGGCAAGTTAGTGTAGGTCCTCCGACTCTTTATGAAGTTGAAAAAGCCATAGAAAATCTGAAGCGAGGGAAAGCAGCAGGCCCTGACAGGTTCACTCCTGAGATTTTTAAGGATGGTGGTCGAGTATTAGCAGTGAGATTAACTGACGTTTTAGGTAGAATCTGAGAGCTGGACGTAATCCCATCTGACTGGTCTCAATCACTGATTATGCCAGTCTATAAAAAAAGAACAAAAGTCCTCTTGTGACAATCACAGAGGAATCAGTTTGACTAATATAGTGTTTAAAATATTAGCTTCAATAATACTTTGACGCCTAACCAAAGCTGGTGAAGAACACGTTAGAGAAAACCAGACTGGTTTTCGACCTGGACGAGGTTGTGTAGACCAGATATTCACACCACGTCAGGTCCTAGAACATAGATAGACATTCAGACGCCCCACAATCGTGGTATTTCTCGAACTTAAGATAGCATTCAACTCTGTTGATCGTGAGGTTCTATGGTAGTGTTTGTCACTGAAAGAAGTACATTAACCTTATAAAGGCTCTCTACTCGAACATAACTGGTCGAGTGAGAGCTTATGGCGAACTGTCATCAGAATTGATTATCTCAAGTGGTGTTCGTCAGGGCTGCTCACTCTCTCCATTCTTGTTTAACTTTGTCGTTGACGTGCTTTTAGAGATAACACTATCCTCATCTAAATTTCCAGGAGTTGAACTTTTACTGGGAGATTCACCTATTGACATAGAATATGCGGATGACATTTGGTGAAGACGCTGACGGAATGCAGAGTCTTCTGACCACTATAAACAGCAATGCAAGGATGTTTGGGGTGCGATTCTCCCCCTCGAAATGCAAAATGTTGCTTCAGGATTGGGTTGCATCCACACCCGAAATAATGATAGTAAGTGAAGTAGTTGAGCGTGTCGATCGCTTCACTTAACTTGGGAGTCTCATCAGCCCTTGTGGTCTGGCGTTTGACGAAATCTCAGCACGGATACAGAAGGCTCGACTAGCTTTTGCCAACTTGCGTCATTTATGGTGTAGGCGAGATATCCGTCTATCAACCAAAGGACGTGTTTACTGCACAGCAGTTCGTCCCGTCCTACTTTATGGCAGTGAAACATGGCCGGCAAAAGTAAAGGATATTCGTAGGTTACTAGTATTTGATCATAGGTGTCTTCGAAACATTGCTCGTATATCATGGGACCATCGAGTAAGCAATGCAGTTGTTAGGAAATGGGTACTAGGTAAGGATGGCAAATCGATTGATGAAGTAGTGAAACTTGATCAGTTGAGATGGCTGTGACATGTGTTACGTATTCCAACCACCGACTGCCACGACGTGCGATGTTTTCTGATGTAGGAGTGGGTTGGAAGAAAGCTAGGGGCAGCCAGATCAAAACATGGCACAAGTCCATGAAGTCACTGACAAGTGGACTGCGCCATGTTGTCAGGTGTAGACTACCTGGTTGGGATCTGCGAGACGATAGCAACCGATGGTTAGAGACCTTAAATGACATGGATCAAAATCGTTTGGCGCAGATGCATCAACTCTTCGTGTCCTCCCAAATTCTAATCTTCTGAATTCTTCATGTCCTTTTTTTCCTCTTTCCAAATTTATTTCACTGTATTATACTCCTTGAATAACATCTTCAAACCCTAGTTTTTCTGATTACTGCTTATACTCTTACTACCTCTACCACTACGGGATTTGAATCGGCCACTACATCTCTGTGCTAATGTGGTGTGGCAACTCGAATTGATGTACTTACGTACGTACGAAGTTCTACGTTGTTACTGACTGACTGTGACTAGGATTTAATTCTTATATTTAAAAAGTTGAAAACACAGTTCAGTATATTATATCACTTCCTGTAGTAACTAATTGTTAGTTTATTGGTGTACACAAAACACCTCTATCATTAGAACTACAAATATCTCTGAAGATAAGATTATAGTGAGTTACTTAAGGGGGTTTGTTGCTTAGTGTATGAATTTCGGGATCAAATACTTTAAGACGCTTTTGATCTATCTCACAGGCAAACATCAAGGCCACAGTTTCCCATTATTCATATCGGAAGTAGCAAATAATTAAATAAAATGTATTTTTTAAAGATTTTTATTCTATTGTTTATGTAAATATTTTACTATATTATGGATCGACTTATGGAAAGGCTGTATTCTCTCAATTCATGTCTCAGATATCTTAGCTGGTGAAATTTCACAATAACTGATCCAATATCATAATGAGTACTCTACGTTTAACTTCGATAAAGCCTATCCAACTGTCAGTCACTTCAAGTCAAGTGAAGTATATTGGTCGAAAAATATTAGACAAAGAAAAACACAATACGCATACAAACGATAGTTTGAAGTTGCTGGCCATAATTCACTTATCAAAATTATGTATCAGACGACTAACAAGAGACATTTCACTCATCAGTTTTAACTGTTTGTGTATAAAATTTCAGATTTAGGATCGTTTCCTTTTCCTAATCCTACTCAGTGGACTATTGAAGAAGTATACAACTACATTACGGCTCGTGATGCTACTCTCCTTGAAGCAGCGGAAAAATTCAAACATCATGTATGTTTTTTGTCATCGTTAATACTGTCCACTTTCTCTTACTTATTTCCATAGCTCAAACCAAAGTGGGCCATTCTTTTATTTTACAAATAATTACTGGTCCTCAGGTTTTATGTTATGGTGTTTTTTTTCAGCACGAACGGTGCTTTGTGTACAAGAATTCAGAAGTCCCACGAAGTAGGTCAAGTATCGAATTGAGACTGGAAAACGCAATATGCTAATTTACGATGTTTTTAATTCTGGATGAAATCTTTTGTAACCTAGCATGTCACATTTTTTCATATCACTGCTGGATGAAAAACTTGAGTAGCGTTCGCAATCAACCTTGTATTGTAACACCGATACTTTGATATTAAAAATACCTCTTATCGTGGTGCACACATCACATCAGTTAGTCATGCAGTTTTCAAGTTTTTTAGTCTTATAATTAGTTGAAAAACCGTCAGTTAATACTGATGCTGGTGTTTATTACAAAGAGAATAATAAGTTTGCTTTTTTCAATAGACCTCCAATTATGACAATCCATGTTAGCTATATTCACCGGTTATGCGCAATATTTACCTCTTTACACACTAGTGACGAATTTTTTATGTTGCAGTTGGTCAAGAACTGTTTTTGACGAATAGATCTTTAGTACTAGTATCTTCACTAGCTATTTTCATACTATAAGTTAGCTGTATTTTAAATAAACTAGTGAAAAATGATATATTAATATTGGAGTCTCTGGTTGGTCCGAATTGATGACCGCTTCTAGTACTTTATTTGATCTAATTTCAGTAGTTGTAATACCAGTCATTCAGTTATACGCAAGGTAGAACCTGACATACGAGTATATCGGTTTGAGTTGCCATACCACATTACATTATGATGCACGTAGAACTTGCTACCGTATGTCGATTTATAGGTAGTAAGCATTAGTATATATATTGTGAGCATTAACGGGACTATTCGCCTTTCTAAATAAAATTAGCTAAAGTCGGTCAGAACCCTCAGACTTTACTTGTCTAGTAAAGGCACATCATTAGCCCTTGAGTCGCTAAACGAACACTTATGATGGTTTTCTATAGTTATACATTAAGTATTCGTACCTTTTTTTCATTGTAAAGTTTGTATCTTTCTGCAAATATACTGTGTGGTTAATGCATCGATAAATTTGATATTGTATTATGTGTACGAAGATTTAAAAAATAGTAAGTGGATGTATTATAACTCTTTTGTTACAGGAAATAGATGGCCAAGCACTTCTTCTTCTTAGCATGGAATCACTGCGTAATTATATGAAGATTAAATTGGGTCCGGCTTTGAAAATGGTCCATCTTATCAGTCGTCTAAAACGTGGGTTGCTGTAACAGCTAGTCTTCGGAGTTCGGCTTTTTTATTGGTCCTTTATATATCAATTATACCATCCGGACAATAACAATTTACAGATGATGAATGTTCCTAAATCTTCTCTAAAATTTATGTGTTTCTAATCTATTTTCTTAGTACTCAAATTGACAGATCTTTATGAGTTCAATGTAGTTGAATTCATTCGGTTAATATAACTGTTCAATATGAAAAATCGTCTTGAATAAGACTTGTGTTTTTTCTCATTGAAGCTAACGTTACCTCTTTAGTATCTTCTACTTAAGCTTTATTAATTAAGTTTGGTCTGTTTTATTTATATATATAAAGATTCGAACTGTTTTTCGTAGCGGACAAAATTATTTTGCGTTTGTTATGTTGCATAAGCTGGTATATACGTGCTTACTTAGGTCTGTTACACCCTTTTTGCATGCTAGGGTTGACTCTTATATGTCTCTTGATATCACGGTTAAAGTCCCTGTTCCTTAAACCTGTTACTCGTCGCGGAGGAGCATAGGCCGCCCACCAGCACTCTCCACCCAACTCTGTCGTGGGCTGTCCTTTCCACTTGCTGTTAATCCTTCTCATATCTCTTTCCATTTCCCGACGTAGTGTGTTCTTCGGTCTTCCTCTTTTCTGCTTCCCTTCAGAATTCTAAATTATGGCTTTCCTCGTGATGCAGTCTGGTGATTTCCGTAATGTAGGTCGTATCCACTTCCAACGTCTTTTCCTAATTTCCTCTGCAGCTGGAGTCTGGTTTGTTGTTTCCCACGGTAGGCTGTCGATGATGGTTTCCGGTAGACGAATATTGAGTATGTTGCATAGACAATTGTTTAGAAGTATTTATACCGTAATGGTAATGGTTGTAGTTCTCCAAGTTTCAGCTCCGTACAGTAAAACTTTACGTTCGTATTAAAGATTCTGACTTTGATTGCGGCTAACAGTTGTTTTGAGTTCAATATATCCTTCAATCTTAGTAATGATTTCCTTGGCTTTACGTCCGCATCAAATCCTCCACCTTCATCGATGATGCTGACCAGGTACGTGAAAGTTTCAACTTCTTTCAGAGCTTCCCCATTAAGTGTGATTGGGTTGGTGTTCGTTGTTTGTACTTAGGGATCTTGCATTTCCCCTTGTGTATGTTGAGGCCTACTGATGCAGAGGCTGTTGCTACTCTAGTTGCCTTCACTTGCATTTGTTCGTGTGTATGAGATAGAAGGGCCAGGTTATCTGCGAATTTCAAATTTTCTAATTGATCCCGAGCTGTTTATCGTATTCCGTGCTTCCCCTCAAATATCGAGGTCTTCATAATCCAGTCGACCATCAGAAGAAGGAGAGTAAGCAGCCTTTCAGTAGATCCTGTAAGGCTTGGAAACTGTTGTTGAGGGTTATCTTGACTTCGTCCAGTTTGTTAGTATCTCGAAGGAAAGCTGTATTGAGCGTTTGTAATACTGTTTCTTCGGCAGTCCATTGTTTTTTAGCTTCAGTTTCATCCTGGACACAACCAGGTGATTATATGAAGCTATGTCAGCTCCTCTCCTAGTTTTCACGTCTTCCATTGTCCTTCTGAATTTTTTATTGATACAAATACGATCTATCTGGTTGTCTGTGGTGTGATCCTGTGAGACCCATGTAGCTTGACGTATGCGTCTTTGTAGGAATATTGTTTCGCCTATAACTAATTTGTCTTAACTCGTTTTGTTTCTTTCGTCCGCACAACTTATTCTCGTTATTTTTAATATATGTATATCTCTCTCAGGTACATTGTTTCGAACTGTGGGATTGAGAGCTTATCAAGTTAAGTGACAGGTTCTATTTTGCTGGTTCGGTTTTTCATATTTCCAGTATTTTTATTTTCCACGCGTTTAGAAGTACTAGGTTTAGCTGAAGTGAAATATTTTGTATTTGGATATTAAATAATATACATTCATACTCAGTGTTTAGATCTCCCATCAGGATTCTCAGGTCCTCTCTTGGTCATTTTTGTACAATCGATAGGTGTTTCTTATAATGCAGAACTTAATCGTCGTCGTTGCTATCATTGTTGAGTGCATAGTAATGGAAAACACTCGTTTGGTTTTACTTCTTTGTTATGAAGGATGCTTTGATAATTTTGGATCCATTAGATTCCTATCTTATATGTGCTATTCGTGCTTCTTTGGACAACATCAGAACAATTCTTTTCGTGCGTGAAGCTTTTTCTTTGAGACCGTAGTACAACAACAATCTCGCCTGAATCTAATCTTTTCCGTTCAGTTTGAGTACAATAGTTTTCAATTATTACGAACAACATCAAGTTGTATCTCCGTAGCTATTTGATTGCTCCTTGTTATGGCTATTTCATCTGCCGAGTATAATATGTCAAAATCGACAATCAGAAAACCGACTTACATGACCTTGTTTTTGTGGCAAACCGATGACATGTTATTTAGCATTAGCAGCCTTGCCTCAACTATGAATCTTTGTTGGTCCCTATCGCACTCATCTCTGTCGTTGCATTCTTCACTATTAGTCTAAAAGAAACATCTGCAGTCAAGCTCGGCAGAAGGAGTAGTCGAAGTTTATAACAGTAACAGCAACTCACCTTCGTGGCTTGTTTTTTTAAGAGTGGCGTTTAACGGACGCCATTTTCTCTCGTGTCTATTTGACGTACTAAAGCAAGGTAAGAACGGTGGTACTGAAATGAGTGGTGAACTTGATTATCATGTAACAGAATATTAAAATCTATTGTAGAAGGCCTAAGCAGTACTCTAAATAGTAAATTCATGTTCACAGAACTGCGCAACAGATTTTGGGGTTTTTTACCTAAATTTTGGGAAATTACCAACATACCTATTGGTCCTATAATTATATATCTAAATTATTAATCCATAAAATGGGTCAGGTTTAGGGCAGAGAGCATCATTTGAAATTGTAGCATGTGAATCAAGGTTTGTTTGTCATGTAAAATAAAATCCAGCAGACGGCTAAAGCAACTACTATTCGGATCAAAAAGCCAGAACTTTGCATCCCAACGAAATATGTTCAGCCGCTCCTTTTACTCGGTCAACTTCAGGCCCAACTAGTTAATAATCAATTTCATGATATGGTGACGTTATCGGATTAATGTTCATTTGTTTTTTAACTTATCCACACATCTTACCGTTGTCACTATTATTATTATTCTAATTGCTAACATTTTTGAGATATTTATTCAACATCCACCCCTATTTACTGGTTCTTGCCTAATTCATATTATTCTACATATTACGTAATTTCCGATTGGCAATTACATTGTTCTCTCTCACTCCATGTTAGCCATATTTATTCTGATCATTTATCTTACAGTCGCATTCAATGCATAAACTTATTTAGGTTAAAACTTTATACCAGTCACCAAAAAATTAACGATTTTATTTTATATGATAAACAATCCTTGTATCACATGTTACAGTTCTGAACGATGTGCTCTGCCCTAAACCTGGCCGATTTTATGGATTATTAGTTTGGATATATATGATTTTAGAACCTGATGAGAAACTTTCGAAAAGAATATTCTGTATTCATATAATTGTGTTTTAATATGATTGGAATTTTTCAGCGATACCCATTGGTCTTATGACTCGGAGAAACCTCAAAATCGGAAGACTGGGTTGGTTCACAGCATGACAACTTTTGGTGGTAATGTAGATTGTCCGTGGTTACGAACAGTCGAAGCACGATCACCATCTGAGGCTGTAGTCTCAGATGCCTCGAAGCTTAAAAAACGACAAAGTTCCATACAAAACTAGAACTTAATTGAGTTCTAGTTTGGTAATCATCTCACTGATGCCATTATCATCCCACCATTATTTCCAGTAATTTTCCATTGAAAGGTTCTTAAAAAGCATTTCTAGTAGGTAACTTAACGTGACTGGTCGCTCTTAACGCTTTTAAAAAAGTGCTACAATAACTAAAATCCATTCGAACACTACCAATGAGTGAATTTAAATGGTTTCAATAATCGTAGACGGATTAGAATAATCTTTCGATTAACGGGTTTCCGTGTCTAGTAGCAATGGATCACCAATAACTCCAGGCAGGAACCTAGGTATATTAACGATAATACAGGAGAAAGAAATTGGTAAATCATAGTAAGATATTATCCTTAGTCCTTAAGAATAGGTCAAGTTGCCTCCTAAAGGACTCCTGGGAGGGCGCTTGAACTAGAGCAGCCGGCAGCGAATTCGAGCATTTGACAACTCTTAAGGAGCAGCAGTTGTGTCTATAGTTCGTTCTTCTGGGTTGTCTCTAGTTTCCGGGTGTTACCCCTTAATTTGTATAGTAGCTAAACTTAAGTGGGTGTTTAAGATGTCCAGAAGTGTTAAGGATATTGTAAGCCATTAGAAGGGCACCTGTAAGATTCCTGTACTGTAATCGGTAAAGATTAAGTGATTGGAGGAGCTCTTCATAAGTCCTAATTCTGAGTCCTCGAACTGATTTCGTGGCTCGCCGTTGGATACGCTCCAGAGGTTTCTTATCTTTTTGGAGTGATTGATGAAATACTATGTTTCCGTATTGTAAATGGGGACGAATAAAATTGTCGAAGATTATGTGGAATGTTCTAACGTCAAAGTGGCCAAAAATGCGCTTCACTGTTACCAGTGCAAGGTTTGCTCAATAGGCATTTTTGTTACAGTTAAGGCATCACAATGTTTATTGATAACCCGTCCAGATCTGAGTTCTGACTTCATCTAGAGTGATAGCAATTCAATAGACTATTTTAACTTTACATACTATAACACTTAATGAACTGAAGAGCGGAGTAAAAGCGTACTTGCTGTAATATATGTATTCTAAGCGTTCTTTAAAGGCAACGACTCCCTAAAAATTATTAAGAGGATGGATTTCTCACCCATATATAAAGTACTTGTAGTGTTAGGCGGAAGCATTAAAAAAAAGTGATTTTCCACGATCCATGGGGGTTTTGGACATGGATGTTGAGAGATCTCAGATGTTACTTCTAGATGCTAATGATGTAAGTGCAAACACCCGACATGTTGAACAAATGAATCTACAGCAACCAAATAATACGTGGTTTATACAAAATGCAGAGTCACACATACGTTCGATAAACTTGCAGAGAAAACGTACAATAAAGCTTAGAAGTTCGGATCTTCATTGACACTGTTAAGGTAATAGTGCATATGCTATTTGATGATCACTTTGAACATTATTATGCTACTCATGCATTCACTGACTTTCCTCACAATTAGATTCTTGTCTGTTCATTACTAATAGAGTACGCATAAGACATTCCTGAAATTCTGCAGTTAGCGTAATAGCAATGGAAATTTTTCCTCGAATGGCCTTAAGTTACATATCAATTC